GAAAATGGCCGCGGACCACGCGGCAGGGCAGAAAAACGGCCGCGGACCACGTGGAACGGGCAGGAAAATGGCCGCAGACCACGTGGAACGGGCAGAAAATGGCCACGGACCACGTGGCATGGGCGGGAAAATGGCCGCGGACCACGTGAAACAGGTGGAAAATGGCCGCGGACCACGTGGAACGAGTGGAAAATGGCCGCGGATCCGGTTCGTAAGTCGAGGTGAGTTCGTAAGTAGAGGTAAATTTTTGGGGCCGGAGCTGATCGTATCTCAAAAATTTCGTAAGTAGGGGCGTTCGTAAGTAGAGGTAAATTTTTGGGGCCGGAGCTGATCGTATCTCAAAAATTTCGTAAGTAGGGGCGTTCGTAAGTAGAGGTAAATTTTTGGGGCCGGAGCTGATCGTATCTCAAAAATTTCGTAAGTAGGGGCGTTCGTAAGTAGAGGTAAATTTTTGGGGCCGGAGCTGATCGTATCTCAAAAATTTCGTAAGTAGGGGCGTTCGTAAGTAGAGGTAAATTTTTGGGGCCGGAGCTGATCGTATCTCAAAAATTTCGTAAGTAGGGGCGTTCGTAAGTAGAGGTACCACTGTATATGTAAGTTTGTGTGGCAAGGGAAAAAATCAAGAGTTAAATATAAAATACTTCAAAATGCAAAGGAATGAGGAGGATTGGGACTGCCTGATTTGAAACTCTATTTTGCAGCCTGCTTCTTAGTTTGGATGAAAGAGTAGATTTTGCTGGGAAATAAAAGAATTTTAGAATTAGAAGAACACCATCTAAGGTTTCGATGGCATGGTTTTCTATGGTACAATAAAGTTAAGGTTAATGTAGATTTTAAGAACCATTGTATTAGAAGTGCCCTACTGAGAATATAGAACAGATATAAACCCAGACCGTGCCTGAAAATGCCTTCATGGGTCTCAGCACAAGAAGCATTTTACAGGAAAGAAATGGTAGGTAAAGAAAAATGGTTAACTTATTGAGAGTTGTTAGAACAGGAGCATGGAGAATATAAGATGAAATCAAAAGAGCAATTGGCTGCAGAGGGATTTAGTTTTCAATGGTTTCATATGTATAGTTAAAAGAAAGATTTAAGGTAGATAATAGGACATATGGAACTGAGCAGCAGAAGACAGAATTTGAAGCTGAACTATGTACAAACGATGAACATATAATTGCTAAAACGTATAACTTTTATTGAAATTTGAAACAAAAAAGAACAAGTGAAAGCCTATGATAACATGGGCTAAGAACTTTGGACATAATATATTGATGGAACAGTGGGAAAATATGTGGTTAAAATGACTGAAATTTATATTATGTTATAGTCTAAAAGAGAATTTTTATAAAATGATGTACTGTAGGTATATAACTTCAGAAAAATTGTCTAGAATGTATAAAGGTACTTCAAATTTATGTTGGAAATGTGGACAACATGAAAGGTCATTTTATCATGCTTGGTGGACTTGTAAAAAACGCCAGAAATTTCTGGGTTCAAATACATATAATGATACAGAGAATTTTAAAGATCAACATTCAATTGGTACTTCAAATTTATGTTGGAAATGTGGACAACATGAAAGGTCATTTTATCATGCTTGGTGGACTTGTAAAAAACGCCAGAAATTTCTGGGTTCAAATACATATAATGATACAGAGAATTTTAAAGATCAATATTCAATTGAAGCCAGAACTTTTCTTGCTGGGATTAATAGACAACCAATTAGAAAAGAGCCATGGAAGATTACTTTTATATATGATTACTGCTGCGAGACTATTATATGTGCAAAAATGGAAAGACTCTGAAATACCCAATGGAGGAATGGTTGGTGAAAACGACAGAGCTAGCAGAGATGGCAAAATTAACTTGCTTGATTAGAGAAAGATCAACAACTACATTTATCACTGACTGGAAACCCCTTATGGACTTTTTCCTGAAAAAAAGAGAAAAATGAACTTC